GTGAGTCGTGCGAGTCGGGAGTGAGTGAGTTGGGGGTGAGTCGGGGGTGAGTTGGGTGTGTGTGGGGGGAGGGGAGGGATTGAGGGTGAGTCATGGGAGTGGGGGGGAGTGAGTTGGGTGTGTGGGGGGATTGAGGGTGAGTCATGGGAGTGGGGGGGGGGTTAGTGAGTTAGATGAGTGAGTCGGGAATGAGTTGGGGGTGGGGGAGGGGGGGGATTGAGGGTGAGTCAAGGAGTAAGGTCAGAGAGTAGGCACTGTGGGTGAGTCAAAGGAGTGGAGTCAATGGGGTGAGTCCTGAGGGTGAGTCAAGGATGAGTAAAAGTAGCGTGGGTAACATGGCGACTTAGAGGAATGAAGACGATTTTGGTGAGTCAGAAATGTGGAGAATGAGATCTTGGTGAGTTAGGTGAGTCGGAATAAGAGTGAATAAAAGGAAAATAGAGAAATAGAATGAGAAGGAGCAGAAGGAAAGGGAGGCAGACGAAAAGGGAGAGAGGGAGAGGGGAAAAAAATGAAGACAGAAGGAGGGAAGTGGCGAATATAGTAAAAGGGAAATATAAAGGAATGGAAGAGAAGACGAAAGAAAAAATGAGGGAAGAATGAAGAAGAGAGAAGGAAACAGAGAATAGAGAAAGAGAGTCGAAGAAAGAAAGGATAAGTGTTAAAGAGTGGTGAGTCACATAAAGTAATAGGCAATGTAATAAACTTTATAAAGATAAAGATTACATATACTATCGACAAGATCGCGAAGAGGAAATAGTACAAAAAAAAACTCGTCCCTCAAACCCACAGAGATAGGGGGGGGGGGGGGAGAAAGAGAGAGTGGATCGAGGCGGAGGGAGAGAAGGAAGAAAGGAGAGGAAGAGAAGGGAAGGAAGAGAGGAGGAGAGGGAAATAAGGACCTCCAGATCTCGAGTTAATGGCGTATATTCGCAGAGACGATGTAATTGAGCTGTTCATTTCGCGCGGGTCGGGAGGCCGGGGGGGGGGGAGAAGGTAAGGGAAAGCGAGAGGGAGGAGGAGAGAGGATAGAAGGGGGTGGAGAAGGAAGAGGAGAGAAAGTAAGGAAAAGGGAGAGGGAGGAGGAGAGGATAGAAGGGGGTGGAGAAGGAAGAGGAGAGAAAGTGAGGGAAAGCGAGAGGGAGAAGGGGAGAGGGAGGAGGAGAGGATAGAAGGGGGTGGAGAAGGAAGAGAAGAGAAAGTGAGGGAAAGCGAGAGGGAGAAGGAGAGAGGATAGAGGAGGGTGAGGAAGGAAGAGGAGAGAAGGTGAGGAAAAGGGAGAAGGAGGAGGAGAGGATAGAAGGGGGTGAAGAGGGAGGAAGAGAGAAGGTGAGGAAAAGGGAGAGAGAGAAGGAAAGGATAAAGGGGGGTGAAGAAGGAGGAGGAGAGAAGAGGAGGGAAAGGGCAAGGGAAGAAAAAGGAGAGGGAAGAAGAGAGAAAGTGATGGAAGGGGAGAGGGAGGAGGAGAGGAAAAGGGAGAGAGATGAGGAGAGAAAGTGAGGAAGAGGGAGAGGGAAGAAGAGAGAAGGCAAGCGAAAGGGAGATGGATAAGAAGAGGAGAAGGGAGAGGCTATGGAGAGGCAGGATGAAGAGGGAAAAGATGAGAAGGAAAAGAAAATGGAGAGGTAGAAGGAGAGGAACAGAGAGAGGGAGAGAGAAAGGGGAAGGGAGGAGGAGAGGGAGGAGGAGAGAAGGAGAGGAAAAGAGATAGGTAGAAGGAGAGGGAAAAGGAAAGAAGAGAGAAGGAGTGGAGGAGGAGAGAAAAAAAAGAAATATAAGAATAGAGAGGACTGGATAAACAGGGAACGAGAGAATGAGAAGAAAAGAGAGGGCTGGAGGAAGACAGGGAAAGGGAGAGAAAAAAAACTGGACGAGGAGAGAAAAGGGAAACAAGAGTGAGTGACTGAAAGATATATATATATATATATATATATATATATATAGAGAGAGAGAGAGAGAGAGAGAGAGAGAGAGAGAGAGAGAGAGAGAGAGAGAGAGAGAGAGAGAGAGAGAGAGAAGAAAAGAAGGGATAGAAGAAGCAGTGAAGAAGGAGAAAAAAGAAACGATAGAAATTATTTTTAAAAAGGGCACAAGAAGAAGTGTAAAACAATAAATATAAACAGACTCCAATCAGAGAAAGAGAAAGAGAAAGAGTAGATTTAGAATAGGAGGAGGAGGGGGAGGGCAGGGAGAGAGGAGATGGGGGGGAGGGGGGGGGAGATGAGTATGACATTACCCATCCCGCTTAATTAATTCACATTCAACTAGATCCAAGTTGTAATCCCGGGCAGATTTTCGCAGGATTACGTAATAAAGAGGCGTTCGTTACGGCGACAAATACCCAGGTTAGATGTAAATAAATGCTGACAATTAATTTGGTTTACGGAACGGGGCGACTTCTCGGTGATTTCTGGCTCCTCGTCTTCGGTTTCGGTAGAAGGAGAGAGAGAGGGGGGGGGGCAGGGGGAAGAGAGGGAAGAGAGAAAGGGAAGAGAAAGAGAGAGAGAGAGAGAGAGAGAGAGAGAGAGAGAGAGAGAGAGAGAGAGAGAGAGAGAGAGAGAGAGAGAGAGAGAGAGAGAGAGAAAGGAGAGAGAAGATGACAAAGGAAGAGAGTAGAGAGAAAGAGGGGGGGGGGAGAGAGAGAAGGGAAGAGAGAGAGAGAGAGAGAGAGAGAGAGAGAGAGAGAGAGAGAGAGAGAGAGAGAGAGAGAGGAGAAGAGAGAGAGAGAGAGAGAGAGAGAGAGAGAGAGAGAGAGAGAGAGGAGAGAGAGAGAGAGAGAGAGAGAGAGAGAGAGAGAGAGAGAGAGAGAGAGAGAGAGAGGAGAGAGATGACAAAGGAAGACGAGTGGGAAGGTGGGAGAAGAAGAGAGGGGAAGAAAGAGAAAACAAGGGAGGAACAAGAGAAAGGAGGAGAAAGAAGAGATGGAGGAAGGTGAGAAACAAGGAAGGGGGGATAGGGGAGGAGAAGAGAAAGGCAATGTAGAGAGGAAAAGGGAGACTGGCTATAAGGATGTAGAGAAAGGGGAAAGGGAATGAAGGAGGAAGGGGAGAGGGAAGGAGGAAGGAAGGGGAAAGAAGAAGAGAGAGGAAGGGGAAAGGAGAGAGAGAGAAGATCACGAAAAAGGAAGAAGAGAAAATAGACAAAAGAAGGATAGGAAGGGAGCACAAAGGAAGGAAAAGAGATAAGAGAAAGGGAGGGGAGAGGGGAGAAGAGGGAGGAAGAGCAGAGAGAGAGAGAGGGGTAGGGGCCTAAGAGTGGCAGGAGTGGGGGAAAGGGGAGAGGAGAGAGGAGTGGTAGGAGGGCGAGAGAGGGAGAAGAGCAGCAGGAGGGAGGAAAGAGGGGAGAGGAAAGAGGGGCGAGGAGAGGAGAGGGGAAGAGGGGGAGGAGAGGAAAGAGGGGGAGAGGGGAGGAGAGGAAAGAGGGGAGAGGGGGAGGAGAGGGGAGAGAGACCTGTAAAGACTGTGACTGGATTATACAACAGGGACATCTGCATTATTGCCAATATGCGATTCAGCGAGGGGAGAGAGAGGGGAGGAGAAAGGGTAGAGGGGGAAAGGGGGAGGAGGAATGAGGGAGAGGGAGAGAGGGGGAGGAAGGGCAGAGGCAGGAGAGGAATGCAGGAGGGGAAGAGGGAAGAGAGGTGGAGAAGGAGAAGGGAGAGAAAGAGAAGGAATTGGGAAGGAGGAAAGAATGGAGGAAGGGAGAAAGTCAAAAAGAGAGAGAGGAATAGGAATGGAAGAATGGGGAAGGTAGAGAAGGAGAAGGATTAGGGGAGAGGAAGATGTAGAAAATGGAGAAGGAAGAGGGGGAAGAGGGGGAGAGGGAGAAAGGGGAGGAAGTAGAGAGATTGAACAGAGGAGGAAAGAGAAAGGAGGATTGAGGAAAAAGGAGGAAGCGATGGAGGGAGTGAGAGAAGTCGGAAAAAGGGAGAAGAGGAGAAGGCGAGAGAAGGAGAAAGGGAGGAGACAGACAGGGGGAAGGAAGAAGGGTGAGGAGAGAGGTGAGAAGGAAGTGAGAAGAGGGAGGAATGGGGGGAGAAGGGGTGAAGGGGAGACAGGGGAGACAGGGGGAGTAGGAGAGCTCGGAGGAATGGCCTGAGGCTCTGTTTCATGACCGGGAAAATCCAGGTTGCGTTTCGGAGAAATTGGTCTTGATTTAGTTTAAAGATTTTGGATTTGCTTTTTACTATTATGGCTATTTCGTTTGTCCTCTGTGTTTCCTCTTCTCCTCTGTCCTCTACTTCCTCTTTCGCTTGCTTTGTCTTTTCCTTGTTTTTTTTCTTTTTTTTTTTGCACAGCTTTCCTTTCATCCTCTCTCTCTCTCTCTCTCTCTCTCTCTCTCTCCTCTCTCTCTCTCTCTCTCTCTCTCTCTCTCTCGCTCTCTCTCCTCTCCTCGCTCTCGCTCTCGCTCTCTCTCTCTCTCTCTCCTCTTCATCTCTCTCTCTCTCTCTCTCTCTCTCGCTCTTCTCTCTCTTCTCTCTCTCTCTCTCTCTCTCTTCATTCTTTCTTCTTCCTCTTCCTTCTAACTTCCTTCCTACTTTCGTTTTTGCCTTTCTTATTTTCCTTCTCTATTATTCTCTCCTCCTTCCAACCACTTCCCTAATCTATCTATCCCTCCCTTCTCCTCCTTTCCTCCTTTCCTCCTCTTCTCCCTCTCAATCTCATCCGATGCACGCGTACATTTCTTCTTCTTTTTTTTTTCTCTCTCTCTCTTTTTCTCTCTCATCTTTCTTTCCTCTCCTCCCACTCCCTCTCCGATAACACCGACAGTGACCATGTATTCGCTGCTCTAACACAGAAAGAGACCGCGGGGTTAGTTCCAGTATTCCGGGCGTTTCAATTCCCTTCATGCAGCGCGCGGACTTGGTGTTTCGTGTTTAGTCCCGCGTTCGCTTGAGGGAGACACTGCCAGCTGACGCATGTTGGTTTTCTTTTTTTTTTCTCTCTCTCTCTCTCTTTCTCTTTCTTTTTATTTTATTTGTCTTTGAGAGGATGTATGTT